GGGGGGGGGGTGTGTGTGTGGGGTTTGTTCCCCTTTCCAGCCCGTGGTGCTGGTGTGACGGGGCCATCGGAGCGTTGTCTCCCCGCCTGCTGCGTCCGCGTGCCTCTCCATCCACAGCACCTCCTTTTTGTACCCTCCAACCCTCCGCTCTTCCTCAGCTGGCTCCTTTCTCTCCCTCCTCCAGCGGATGCAGAAGAGGGCTGAGCGCTTCAACGTGCCCGTCAGCCTGGAGAGCAAGAAGGCAGCGCGGGCAGCTCGGTGAGTCCCCGCTCGGAGCCTCCTCCCTCCCTTGCCGGGGCGAGGGGTCGGAACCAGGAGCTGGTGCCGCGCGTTGGCCGGGGGGGGTGCTCGGTGCTGGCTCTGCTCCGTCCTTGGGCTGAAATACCGGGGACGGGGCGATGCAGGGGAAAAGGGTGACCCCCGGTGCCCTGAGGGGCTTTCTGCCGCCTGCAGAGCGGGTCAGGATCCGCACTGGCCGCTGAGAGCCTCTGCCAGTGCGTCCTGCCCCCAAACCAGTTTTCTCAAGTGAAAAATATTTGAAGGAAAAGTTCACACCTGAGACTTGATGCACCAGGCTCTGGCCGACCTCATCTTCGCCGAGTTTCTGACTGAGCTCTGTTTACCTTTGGCAGGTTTGGTTTGGCCACAGTTTCGACTAAAGGTGAGGAGGTGAAACCCAACCAATCCGTGGAGTGACCTTACTGCAAATATTTAATTATTCCCGGGGGGGAAAAAAAAAAATCACAGGTGGGGCCACTTTTGGTTTTGCTTCTGTCCCTTTTCCTGACCACGCCCAGGAGCTGCGAGCGGGAATTGGGAGGAAAAGGACACGGGGTGTTCCCTGAGGTGCTGGGAGAAGCGTCTGAGTGCAGGGGGAAGGCACCGGCCGGGTGTTCCTGTGGCACTGAGCGAGGGGGGACGGCAGCAGTTCTGGGGGGGGGAGAAGGTGATGTGAAGGTGAAAAAGCAATTGGGAGGCTGGTTGTGTAGCGAGCGGGGTGGCGGCTGGGAGGGACAGGAGAGCAGTTCTCCAGTCCCCGATGGGCAGAGCCGCGACTTCGCTGTGCTGGAAAAGATGCTGCTCCCGATGCTCTGACTCTAACGGGGTGTTTTTTGTTGTGTTTTTTTTTCTTGCCTCCTCCTTTCAGGCCTCTCTGCAGACAGCAAACCCACGGTAAGCAATGCTTCTTGTTCTCGAGTGGCTGCTGGCCAGGCCCGGCCCGCGGGTTGCGATTTGTAGAAGAGGTTCCTGTCCGTAGGGGCCGGAGCCGCGTCCGTGGGGCGAGTTTCTGTCACAACCCCCCCCGGGTGTCGCTGAACTCGCCGGGTTCGCTCCCCGCGGCCGCCCCTTGGGACGGTTTTCTCAGATGAGCTGATTTCAGTGACACTCTGGAAGGAACAAAGATGGTACCTGGGGTTTTTGCACATGCCTGACTTGCACTCTGTTGTTTGGATGGAAACGGAACGGAATTGGAATTCCGGAATGGGAATGGTGAATGACCCATAGGAAGTTGTCTGGGTTTTCCTGGTCGGGGGCCACGCGGGGCCGGGCTCTGCTCACCGAGCAGCAGGGGACGAGCGGGACAGAGCTGAGCCAGGACGAGGCCTGTCACCGGGGCGTCGAGCTCCTCCGGTGCCAGGGCTGTGAAGGGTCCCGTCGGCGTCTGCGAGGCGGACTAGCGCCAGGTGTCCCTCGGCAGAGCTGCGCCCCACGCGGGGTGCATGCCGTGGGGGTCCCGGCGGGCTGGGCGCCGCATCAGGAGGTGGCTCGGACGGGCCCTGCCCGGGTGCCGCGCAGGTTTCGGCAGGGTGAGGGTGCAGCGACGCTTTGTGAGCGGGCAGAATGCTTAGGGGTGCCGGTGGGTTTGCCCAGGAGGACGTTTCGTTCCTGTTCGTGTTGAGCCGAGCGGTCCCAGGTCTAGGCAGCCCCCAGGAACCGTCGGACACGGCGGCTCCCTCGGGATGGGGAGCAGCGCTGGGGGGGTCTGTTTGTCCTTGGGTTTGCGGAGGCGAAGGGACGGACGGGCAGATCCCGGCAGCTTCGTTTGGGAGCCCGGTGCTGCCCCGCGACCTGGGTGCTGGCAGAGCTGCCGGTCGCTGTGCCCGAGTCCCCTCCGGGAGGAGCTGTCCCTTCCCGCTGTCCCTGCCACCTGAATGTCCAAAAAAATGTAAATTGTTTCCTATGTCTTTGTAGGTAAACATGGATAAATTAAAGGAAAGGGCTCAAAGATTTGGGTTGAATGTCTCCTCGCTCTCCAAGAAGGTAAGGTGCCTTGGCCTCCAGGACACTTTGCCCCTCCAGCTGAGCCGGTGCCCCGGCTCGTGGCGCCGTGGCCGCTCGGAGCCTGGGTGCTGCCGGAGGTTTCACGTCTCGTCCTGAGCCCCGGCCCCCGGGGAGCCCCGTCAGCGCCGCTTCCTTCCTGCCCCCCTCCCGGTTGTGCTTGCGGGGGTGACTCCGGGCATGGCTGAGGGCGCGTTACGGCTCATAGGGGTGTGGAATTTTCAGATTGTTCACCGAATCTTTGCCTGGGAAGAGCCGCCCTTCGGCGGGCCGTTGCCTTCCCGGCGTTTGACTCGCGCTGTGCAAGTGCCCGTTTCTGGGGGCGGTGGGAGCCAGGTCTGTAATGACCGAGGTAATGAGCTCTCTGAAGAGAAGGCATCCAGAGCTCCCTGGTAGGAAATAACCCTTTGAAGTACAAATGAGATGAGCTTTGTAGGGGGACGGATTTGGTCTTAAAGCTGTTTATTTTTTCCAAGAGAGAAATAGAGGGGAGCTTCCGAGCGCGACCCCCTCCTCTGGTCCTCGTAGCTAGGAAGAGGTTTAGCTCAGCCCTCGCACTGCCTGCGGGGCTGTCGGTGGGGCTGGAACGGTGCTGGGGGGGGGCCCACGGGGATGTGCGTGGAGGCAAACGTCTGCCGGGGAGGGGTGCGATCGTCCCCTGCCCAAACGTGTTCGGTAGCGAACGGGGGAGAAGATGAATTCAGTGTGTTCGGGGAAAACAGAAGAAAGGATAAATATATACTCGGAGATTAATACAACATCCTGTGTGCTTCCCAAACAAAAATAGCCTTTTCCTCTTCTGGGCTGTAACGAGCCTCGTGCTGCAGCACTGTTCAGAAATAGCGGTGAGGGAAAAAGAATCGTCCAGCTCTAGCAGCTGGATGGTGTTGGCATGGAGACCTCTCCTCTCGCTGCGGAAAAGGGTAAGAGCCAGGGGAGGTTCATCTTCTCTCCATCCCTGTGAAATAAGCCCCTCTCCTCCTCGGGGGGATGGATTTGACCTTTTCCGCTGCATGTTTCTCCACGTACGAGCGTTCTGCTTTATTCCACCGGCCCTGGGAATTCACTGATGTAGAAAATATCTGGCATTGGAGGTCGCTGTTCCCCCCCCCCCTTCCCTCTCCTGTCCCTTTGGGGGTGGGGGAAGGAGGCCAGTGCATTAAAGCCGGGATATGTGGAGCTCAGGGTGAGAGGCTGCTCAAACATCATTAACCCTGTCACTAGGAGCTCCCATTTTTCAGGAGGAATATATGCCTTGTCAGTGTTTATGGCCGTGGCCTTCCCCGGGTAGGATTGTGTGCCTGCAGCTTAATGAAGCCGGGCTTACGGAGGGAGCGGGCTCCCGTGGCCCCCGCCCCGGCAAAAACCTGCACCCACCGCAGCGCGAGGGCCGGCGCCCGCGCCTCGCTGCGTCCTCAGAGCTCCCCGTCGTCCCGGCGGAGACCGACCCTGGGGAC